GCCATTATTCACGGGTTTTAATATCATTAGCGTGCTTACGTGTCATTAATTTACCTCTTTGACTAAAATTATCCACAGCAAATTCAGCTAATTCTTGCAGGTTAAGTTTCATAATTGTCTTAACAGTGTCTTCATTAAATTTATCTATTAGTTCAATTTCTGGTTCAGTGGCTAGTGCTTCAGCACCTTATTCAACCTGATCTGCATTCTCAGGTATTTCCAGGACTGGCATCGCAGCAGCTATTTCCGATGGATGTTCTTCAATAATCTGTTTAGTTTTCTTAGTTCTTCTTCCTATTTTTTTTTAGTTGCTTCCGCGGTTTTCTCTAACACAGGTTGAATACCTTTAGAGGTCTCAGTGGTAGGTTTAAATAATAGGTTTAAATGTTTTGTATCCTCCTGAAATTCAAATTGAGATTCCTGACGCGGTTGTAGTTGTTGCCTAACAGAACCACGAACAGGTAGATATTTTTTAATTGCCTCTAGTCACTCTCGAGCTAATTTAGCTGAGTGTTGTTCTCCAATACTCATTATTGATAATATTTATATTGGCTGTTTAATTTATAGCAGCAGAGATGCTGAAGGACATACTTGTAATGACCACTTCGTGAATAAATCGAGCAAAAAATCTGGTCAATTAAAGAAAGTTTTACCATTAAGGCAAAAATGTTTTTTCTCAGCCTTCGTAGGAACCCTTAATTTTCAAAAATAAGGTTTCAGGCAAATTTGTCTGTTCAGCCTCTCTGCTGCTAGTTTTGTCATGAGGGTTTTTTAAACTGAAATTATGGAAGAACGAAAGAAAAATAAGCTTGATATTGTTAATTAAAATCTAATGAACGGAACTCGTTATGATATTGGAGAAGGATAGCTTAATCACGTGAAAAATGAAAGCAAAAGCAAACCGTGCAATTATCAAGAATAAGACTATATAGATGTATTTTAATTATAATGCTCTATTTTTCATTATTCACATATATATGGTAATATATGACAACATTCATGAAATGTGTGCATCATGTTAAATGTATCATTGATTTCAGCATGGAACTGACCAGGTATGAAAGACGCTATTTATCTTATATATGGTTGTTGGGTGATCAGTAGTAATGACGTACAGCGATTTGCAAATTATATGTCAATAACGTAAGGCATAAAACATTATCTCAGTTACCATACTGAGGTGATCTGATTTATACGATTTAATTAAACGGAATAAACTTTGGTTCAAGTATGTCCAAACCAACAGATGTAATAAACATTCATGTAAGTTGGATAATAGAGTATATTATAGTTAACAAAAATAGTTTCTACAAATATTTGTTACAAACAGTTGCACTGATATATTTAGTACATATCCTCGGACCGAGGACAATTATACAACAAACAATTTTGTCAAGCATTAAAGTGTGTAACTAAACAAAGCGCTTTATTTGAGATATTGCAATGTATAAATGAGAGAAAATTATGTAGTTGCATAAATGAAACATTGCACTAAAACGTAAGTAATAAAAAGAATAACGATACATGGCACAGTTCGGATTGCTCATCACAAATAATAACTTCAGAAGCATTGCTAAATATAGAAAGAGATTTGTATATTTCGTTTACAGGAAGTATTATTATCAATAGACAAAGCTTAAATCAATGAAAATTGCAATTTCCATGTATATGGAAGCATATACGAAAAAATAATCACAAAGCCCATCATTGGTTTATACGCATAAGTGCCTGCTAAAATAATATCAAAAGATCAAAGCAAAACACATTTCAGATAATTCAATAGGAGAAAATTGAAAATTAATTGAAAAGCAATCAATACAATATATCTTTCCCGTTGATTATATATACAGCGTCAAAGTGTTGATATCATAAATGTCGGAAAACAATTGTACATAATAATGAGTAATGGACATCTATCACAACAGATTTTCAAGTTCAATGCATCAATGCCGTCATCCCAAAGGGAATGAAATATTTTAATTACACGTTATTGTTTATGAGCAAAAGTGATTGTTTCACTGGGCACTAATGCACAGAGCAAATATATTAAACATCCGCTTCAACAGTCTCAATATCTAAAGATACGCACTGTAGAATAATGCTTTAGCGTACTCATTTATTTAAATGCACCGATATTTTCATGATAAAATGAACGTGTTTATTGGCATTAAATTTTAATTTAATATTAAAGTAATATTGTCATTAATATATATATATATATATATATATATATATATATATATATATATATATATATATATATATATATATATATATATATATATATATATATATATATATATATCCCAAGTTTCATTTATGCAGGTGTCATACTAGACAATGATCCCATGTCAAATGAGATAAGAAGTGCTATGGTGGAGGCCGTCAGCATGTTTAACGTAAACAACAGCCAATCTGTACAACTAAGCCCACTATTTGAAAGGACGAATATATTTGACAGCTTTCGTCTCAGGCATGCAAGTAAGTTATTTGTTGATTACGTTGCCTCTCTCTCTCTCTCTCTCTCTCTCTCTCTCTGTCTCTCTCTCTCTCTCTCTCTCTCTCTCTGTCTCTCTCTGTCTGTCTGTCTGTCTCTCTCTCTCCTCTCTCTCTCTCTCTCTCTCTCTCTCTCTCTCTCTCTCTCTCTCTCTCTCTCTCTCTCTCTCGCTATGGCACATGCAAATGCGCAAAGTTACAGTCAGATGGTTACTTTCGCAGGATTTCCTGGAATAAGTATGTGGCTGGTAAACGCAAGGTATTAACTCAAATATTTGTGACTTTAATAGGTAACAAGTTATATCTTTACTTCTGACATTTTAAGGGGACAATATTAAATTGAAGTACCCTTTGTAAAATAAAATAAGGAAATGTAGATTTAACGTAGTTCTTCTTTCTTTAGTAATCAGGATCATAAAGACAAGAGTTTTTCTTTTAAAAAGTTTATAAGTTGAAGTCTATACAGTTGTAATGATAAGGGCAAGATATACTATTTTAAGTCTTTGTTAAAATTAGTTTTAATCTAATGGTTTACTTGAGTACAAATACGTTATGCAGACCATAATAATGGAGTAAGGCGAAATACATTTGAATTTAAATAATCACATGGGTCTGAATATAATGGAGATATAACTTTTTGGAACATAATAGTTTTAAAATGATACAACCAAACGATAAACACCTCTCGTAATAGTCACCAATGCTACGTAAAGACGCCAAACAGCAAGCGTTCCTTATATTAGGGGATATATAATCCGCATTAAATTGTCAGGAACGACAAGTGATCAAATTGACGTACGGCTAGAGGAAAAATGTATGCGCTGAAAGCAAAACGGAGACAGAAACAAAATGATAGTGGGCATTTACGCTGCCGCATGTGATTTTCGTTGCAAAATATGCAGTATTTTCTGTGATAAGTTATAATATTTATACCTCCTTTGAAGATTGTATTTATAGGTTACAGCATTTGTATGGGAAAATATTAACTAGTTTTTCGGATGGATATACTGCACGACATTGGTGGTGCAGTATATCCTTCCGACAAAACGAGTTCATATTTACCCATGCAAATACAGTAACCTTTTTATTTTAGGAACCTTTTTATTTTATGCTCATTTCTTTTTCTTCTCGAGGCTTAGATATATAAACACAAATACACTGAAAGAAACAAACTAACTAAATGTATACCATATTCCGAACTAAATACATAAGCGTTATTGGATCATTACACAACATTATTAATGAGCGAATAACTCCGCACAGACAAATATGAAGTTGATTTCGCGCTAAACTTAAGTTTCGAATGAAAATGGCGCTTGCTATACATAAAATTGAAATTTGGAGTAATATTGTTAGTGAATACGCATAGCAACAACTTTTACATTTGATCTGGAATGAATACCGTTTGGCATTTTTGTTGATTGAACGCAATCTTTTGATTTTGGTCAGAATTTATCTACAGGAAGTGACTTGCATCGGTTTCCAGCACCGTCTGCCAATCTAATGTTTTGAATTGTGCTGACATCGGCATGCGTTTTTCTTTTCTGTCATTGAATGATTCAGATCAAAATGTGGCAAACTTATGAAGCCTTTCCATTGCAATTATCGAAGAGATGCTGAGGAATTTAATGTTTATTTCATTTCGAATGCAGTAAAGAGGACGTAACTACACTTGGAATATACTCGAAATTACAGTAAAATTTCAAAATGTGTAATTAACCTTGAGAACCCATGACATAGTTCATCTAATTCAGATTTACAGACCTTCAAAAATATAATTTTTGAGGAAATGCAGGATGTAAAATTGTAAGTATATTTTAGCCATTTTTATTAACAGCTTATGGGTATAACTTGCGTTTTATTGTGAGGAACCTGTATAGCGTCTAAATATAGCTAAATCTGAAACATTGTATCAAAAAAGTAAACGCAGAATGTGCCAAAGCAGTTTGTATATGTCAGTCTATGAAACATTTGCTGGTATGTGGCCGTCCATGAAATATATGCTTTAGTTCATTCATAAAAAAATTGTTTACGTTAGCAAATAGTTCCTTTTCAGGCTGGATACAATATGAATGTGTTCAATATCGGTGGATATTGCACGATTATGACAATGTAAAGTTAACGGAGAAAAAAATGAGCATGAAATAAAGTGAAGTTACTACATGCTATCTTGTTTTTCAGTTTGCTCTCTGGTGGAAAATATGACCTTCGCATTGTTCGGATTGACTCGAAGCTTATCTTACAATATTATCCAGTCATACAGCCAAGCATTAAACATGCCGTTTATCACTCCATTTTTGACAAGGGGAACTCAACAAGACACGTATAACTATGAAGTTTGTCTATACCCTTCTTTTGTGGAACCTGTCATTGACTTCATCAAGTTCTTCCAATGGAAAAGAGTATTTTACGTGTTTGATTCCGACGACGGTAAGACAAAAATAGTGTGTGCGGGTAATATGGGTACTTGGTGCAATTTGATTATTCATAAATATTCAGGAACCGCTCCAATGGCCTTGAGGTTAGAGCATTCGCCTCGGATGTGGGAGGTCGTGGGTTCGATCCCCGGTCGAGTCATACCAAAGATTTACAAAAATGGTACTAACAGCTGCCTCGCTTGCCGCTCAGCATGAAGAGGTCAGTGTTAGGACTGGTCGGCCTGATGTCAGGATAATGTGAATGGGTAGGACATCATGTTACATGTCTGCGGCAATATGCCCTTGAGCTAGACATCACTAAAAACTGCCACACTGCAGACATCCTAGCAATATGACTGAAACATTGTTAAATCTACGTTAAAAATCCAAATCACACACACATAAATATTCAGGTATCATATATGCATAAATGCAATACTCTATGATAGAGTTATGTAACAGTAGCATGTTGTATAATCGTCTGTTTAGGCTAAGAAAGATATTCAAGGATATATGACTGTTGTATAGGACAATGGTAAAGCCAATTAAATTTTGACCTGCTAAAGTATTCGATATATATATATATATATATATATATATATATATATATATATATATATATATATATATATATATATATATATATATATATATATATATATATATATAATGTGTGTGTGTGTGTGTCTTAGTGTGCTTCAAAATAAAAAATGTGGTCAGGGCCTGTTATGCAAGGTCCTTTTTCATTTCTCGCAACTATCAAACGAGCAAACTCTTCATTTATACGCATGTCATAATAACCTGCGTCATCTGTTTCAATGTTACAACTATTTTAATAGCACCTTTTATGACAAATATCGACTCTGTTCAACGTAAAATGCTAGATAAACTGACTATTTTAAAATATGTTTGTTTTGCTTCGGAAAAATTGAGGTAGTTATATCCTGAATGATATGAATAACCTACTATAACTGCCAGTACAATAAAATTGATAATGGTATAATTGATAATAATATAACGCATTATTTGTAATGTACATGACATACGACTGATTATGGATAAGATACGTAAGTAAGGAAACAAGATTGTGATCCTTAAATACTAATCCACCCCATGGTTGATGACTGAAATCATTACATGTTCTTTTTTTCAAAAGGATGTTCAGGTGAAATAGTATGAATAATTTTATTTTGTAGCATTTGAATGGGAAATGTATTTCTGAATAATATTAAACTATCTTTTGCGTGATTGTTTAATCCGATAAGACGATTTCACATTGTTCCACACAAATGCAATAACTTTTTTATTTCATACTCATTTGGGTTTCCTACCTAAGAGTTAATAAAAGAATACATTATAAGAATCATAGGAATTGAATTTATGCTGTATTCTAAAATAAATATAAAACAGTGGATTCATCAATATATAGTAACAATATATATGCACAAACAACACAACCCAGCAACCGCAAAGAATAATAGTGTTAATAGCGGATGACCTCGATCGGAGTGATATAGTAATATTGTTATCAGTGCCCTCACAACTCTAGGTACATATGGGAAATTCAATGTTAACTGGGTCGATAGGTTTCTTCATCACTTGTCAGTTCACTATTTCTTTCTTTCCACGATGATTTTGCGGAGACAGTTTATTCTTCTCTCTTCTCAATATGGATTCAATCCGAATTTTATATTTTGTTTTTCCTGGAACTTATCCATTTGGCATGACTGCGTTCTTCCTTTTGATGCTCCTTCTTTATATATACATCAATTTGAAAGAGCATGCATGGCAAATTTGCTTTATCGTTTAAAATTTTCTGGATTAATAATTGAAACACAAGCGTCTAACCGCTTCTACCAGCATCAATCATCTGATGAGAGATTTTGTCCAAATAACGATCACTGCTATCTCACCTATTCGAGCCTCGGTTATTCCCCTTTCTAGACATGCGAAAAAACTCTCCAACAGATTACCGTGGGTCAGAAGGTCTTGCCGGGGATGTCCCTTATTATTATTGTCCCATATATAACGGGAACAACACTAAATGATAGTGTTAAAACTGAAAATCCAAAAGTAAAATCAACCACAACGACATACAATTCAGTATAGACCAAATGACTATTTTATTTCTGAATTGCAAATAATGGAGAAATATGCTTAAAAATTGGAGTCGTACAGTCTTATAATTATTCAATCGCCAAATCTACAATAGTATATCGAATCATTTTAACGCATCCCTATTTGAAGTCAGCTCAAAGCAATATTTGAATATCAAACGCATAGGAAACAACTTTAATGGTTAAGTTTCAGCTCTGTCTTCAAATACCACAGAGATGGAAATCAGTTTAGACCATCATCGGAATATCCAAGCAGCTACAATGTTTTGTAAGTAATAGCAAATAAACAAACTGTAAGCCTACCATGAGTATATGAGTGGCCGATAGTTGGTGTTTGCAACCTTGTTTCCGATGACTTGCCAAAGCATAGTTTTACAGCATATTTTCCACAAGAAAAAATTGTACAATATGTTTAGTGCTAATACAAAATATACACTTTTATGAGTAGCTATTATGAGTGCTGTGTTTGTTGCACGATAAGATTCGTTATGCGAGCAAGTTTGGTAAAGAAAGAGAAATAACTAGTCTCATTGATTTGATAAATGAATCAATTAGGGCTTGAATCAATAATGAAAATTTCACTTCATGATTCCTCTCGTATTATATCTGAACACAAATGAACGTGATTCAAGACAGAAAAGGAACCAATTATTTTGTCTATTTCATTTATAAATATATCCCATTTGAACTCTGCTGCAATAGCATGTCATGAAAACAACCAATGATCGGAGTGGAAACTTGCATCAAAGAGTAATCATGTTCTCTTCCAGAACTTTGAAAAATACATTAAATCAGGTAGGCTCATATCATCTATTACAGACAAAGGTGACGAAAACTAGTCAAATAAAAGTTATATAACACTACCTCTAATATAAAAGAATAAACGAAATAAAGTTTTATCTTGCATTGCAATAAAACGTACAAATTATACTAATTTAATAAAGTAACATAGGAAATTGTCTTATGAATTTTTCAAATGTATAAAAAACTAAACATCATACCACAGGAGATATTAATTTGCATTATCATTTCTCTCAGTATTTTGACCATAAGCTTTGCATTCCGAGAACATTAACGCTATGTCACAAACCTTTATTATTTGTTTCTGACATTGTTAACAAAATAATTATGGAGGTGGTGGAGGGAAAACTGAACACAATAATTGGAGCAGGAGCTAAATTAATATCCAAAGCAAAGTTTTTTTAAAGCCAGTATCCACTATGTGGGGATTGTTTAGAAGTTTATAGGATAGGTTAACACTTTATGCTACACATTATGTTTGTCTTATTGAATCAATACTACGCCAACCCTGCATCATAATAATTCATTTTTGTTTTAAAAAAAGACATAAATGACCGACGTAATGAAATGAAATATCCAAGGCACCTTTAAATGTGGTCTTTAATTTTCCAAACGCTTCCTGACATTTCTCATCCACAGAAAATTTGATTTACTAACCAACACAATTGTTTGAGATTTGGCACTACTTGGGAAAATTCAACACGATTTCCTAATGTTTCCAATATAATGCATGCAGGAAATAATTCAACTTTATGTCTTTTTCAGATGTGCATCACTGAGTCTTTAAAATATATTTCCAACTTTTTTCCATGTGATCTATCCGATGTCATTATTGATAATTACACCATTGCCCAAAGTGTCACGATATTCTAGATCAGATTGTACCATGGTTATTTGGTTGACGTAAGATTTGTCACAAAGAAAGACATCATTTTATATCTCTAAATTTAGTATGGAGTTGCAAATGCCATCATTGCTTCTACTATCACCGTGAGTTAAAGTTGCCATAATCTTTTAAATAGGTCAAACCTCTTTACATATGTTGCACTTCTACATTATATTAGTATAATATAATAAGACTATAATCATAGCAACTTAACTGTACTCTATTGCTTTTACACTAAAATATAATACCCTTATTTTAAATAATTCATTTTGCATATATCTTCTGCCGCTTTTATACTTAATCTTGCTTTTATGGAAGATTCGCACAAAATGAGGTTACCAAATTATTACAGCCAATGTACGTATCGATATATCTTAGATTCATGTATTTCTTTTCAAGAGAGATATTCTGTTGAAAATTACCAAGATGAGGGATGAAGTTCGTTGATAAAGTGTTCAGTCTTTGATGATATACCGTACGGTTTTCTGTATTTAGGTTATTCATTAAAGGTATCTGTCCATTTTACAGCGTTGTGGAGGCTCCAGAGGATATATAAAGCATTCAACCATTCACAATTTCTCGCTGATGCAATAAGGATACCTGATATCAGCAACAGCCGTGACGTACTTCGTAAATTCGACCGGAACTACAATTTTCCAACGAAGATAATTATAGTAGACCTGTCATCAACTGAAGCATACAACACATTTTTGAGCCAGGTTATGAATCTGTAATAAACTGTATAAATCTGTAGAAGATTATACAGTCAAACAAACAAAACATGCATTTATCTATATACCTTCTATATCAATTTACATGTGTCATTTTAAATCTCAATATGAAGTTCAATTAAGGAGGACGTATTATTCATTATCCTATAGGAATTCAGCAACAGTTAAACGACTGCTAAATTGTACATTACAAAGCTAATATTTGTAATAGATTAAATGTTCAGATCATTAATAAAGCAAGTATACATGTTTACTTTTATCTGAGTTAGGTCATAAATATTGACGGGAAGAATCCTAATTTGACATATGTCATAATGCTTTATAAAGAATGCTGACCACGAACCTTTTTCTGCTATTATGTTGTATATTGTCCAATGTTGTCGACTTTAAAATCTATAAAAATTCCTATCTTAAGATCCCAATCGGAATCTATCTTGTGTAAACTATTCTATTTAGAGGTGTAGTTATTTAAATTATCCACTAGAAATACAAAATGGTCATAAATATTTCAAGGACTAATCTATTTTATTGGAATTATTGCATATATATATATATATATATATATATATATATATATATATATATATATATATATATATATATATATATATATATATATATATAT